GTAACAATAAATGAGAAAGGGAAGGTTTTTGTAAACAAGAAACGCCTGAAATTAGTGAGAAAAAGCAAATAGAGCACCCTCATTAAATTGATGAAAAGATCGCAGCAGCCAAATGTACCTCTCGCTTGGAGACTTGTTCAATAGGAAGGAAATTGCTGGATTCACTCCCGTAATCATTTCTTTATTTGCCCATATAGTATATATCATCCTTCACTAGCTAGCAAGCAAATACTTTCGCATTCAGCTAAATTCCGACCCTCCCCTTTTCCGGCAGCTCCTCCGATCTCAAGAACCTATTGAGAAATTAAATGACCGGAGAGACTCCTTGTCCCTTAGAAAACCCTTGGAATCCAATCAACTTTCCTCATTTACATCATTCAAAACATCTTGAAATCTGAATTGCCAGCGGCCTGTTTTTCTCGTGACGGGAAAAAATGCTGTCTACATAAGATACACATAGCAGTGAACGGAAATTACTGGTCATGCATGAAGTCCCTTTCCGCAGACAGGACAATCACAATAATGCAGTTGTCCTCTGTAGACCATCGGATAGGAGATGATGTGCATCGGAATTAATGTAATGTATTCTTTCGGATACTATAATAAGGACAAATCTTGATGAATTATTACAAGTTACATGGTACTCTCAATCATTATTTATGGCCTCCTAAACGCTCTCTCTTTTGAGACTGTATGTATGTATGTATGTATGTACATGTATATGAATGGATTAGGTGGCCTGACACGATTCCGTAATCTCTCTCACCATTCTTTATATTTTTAAGAAGGAAAAAGGAAAAGGATAGACGTCTAAATATTAATTCTGGATTAATTACCGCCTGTGTATAATTTATATCAATTTAACCAAATTAAAGATAAGTTAATTGATTGGATGTACATGCCTGTCATGTCCAAAGTATCATAATGATACATGATACATACATGGAAAGGGGGAGAAGAAGTGTGTTTCGCATTGCCGGTTTGTGTGGTCGTCGTTTGCTTGAAAAAACAAGTTAAAAAAAACTATAAATTATAATTTTTCTCGTATTTAACTTTTTACTAGATGAAAAGCAGGATTAAACAATGAAATCTAAACAATTTTTGAAACTATAAACAGTCTGAAAAAATCTTCACCGTATCACATCATATATTTACAAATATGATGTAAATTATATTTTTAAAAAGTTTTAAATTTTTTTATTTAAATTTAATATATTTTAGATTATTTTGATGTGTTGATGTAAAAAATAATTTTTTAAAAATAAAAAAATTATTATTATATATTTCAACATAAAAATAGTCAGAGCCATACCGTAAAACAGCCTCTGTAAGCTAATGATGATAACAATAAAAATATAATTGAAAAAAAAAAACCTAATTATTGGCGGCTCAGTATTTGTTAATCTGATTATATATCCCCAAGCAAGTTGCAGGACATTTTTTCCTGTGTTGTCAGGCAGGAAGACATGATATTCTCTCCAAGGGATGCTGCAAGCTGCACGACAATGGCTTGATTAAAAAACAATAATAATAAACAAGAAAAGGGTGATTATTATTTTACTTAAATTTTTTAATTAAACACGTTTTAGACTTTGAGAAAGAGAGAGAGAGAGAGAGAGAGCCTTCATCACCACCATAATAATGGAGTAACATATAGTCTGTCTCTGTCTCCTTTGCTCTTCTTATTGCCCCATATATGAACCAAGACATCCCAATTGGATATATATATATATTATGTACGTTAATTAATTAAGATAATATATATGAAAAGATGCCTGTAATCTCCATACATGCCTCATAATGCCCTCTTACGCTTATCTTGTTGAAGGGACCATATGAGCTGTTTTCTGAAGTCAACCATTGCCTCACCTTTTATTTTTCTATTTCTTCTTTGTGCTGTATTTGCTAATCATATATATGTTGGCTTTGCTGTCATTAATCCCTATTTAATCTGGTGGGTTTGTTAACATTCCCTTCAAATTAATAATGAAGTTGTTAAGTTAAACTATATATTATATTTTTCACTCTTACTTTCGATGCATGCCTCTTTATTTTATCCACTTGCTTCAGTTCTAGGGAATGAATCCTTGTCTTTGAATGATTAACTGGCAGCATAAAGGAATAGAAACAGTACAGGCAATTAATTTAATAAGTTCTATCATGAGCTTACTTTCACAGCTGCATAACTGTTCCATTATCTTTGTTTTGTATAATAATTGAGTCTCTGTTTGTTTGCTTTACGCGGTCTGCATTTTCTTTCTACTTCATATTTAAAAATAGTTGATTAATTTTATATGCATCCACTAAAAATTAAATATATTTTTTCAAACCGCAACCATACAAATTTCCATGGTAACAGTCAGAGGTATAACCAAGTTTCTGGCTTTCTGCTAGCTAGGCATGGTCAGGTAAAAAAGTTTTTTTGTTTTTCCCGTGTTAAGGGCTAGCTCGAGGTGAGTTGAGGTAAAGGGGTGATGATCCTGTTGATGTTGCTGCAATCAATCGTCGGCCACCGACGACAAGAAGTAGAACAAAAGTATCAGACATGTTTTTTAATTACAGCCATACAATAGTCAAGGATGATCTAACCCAAAAATCAGCTCTTAAGCGTTGATGTGTTTTCATGTCTCACAAGTTGCTGTTTCAAGATTCCTCTGAGCTCTTAAACCGACCCTAAATGGTGCCCTTTGGTCCCTAGAGGGTTATCTTTTGCATAAACACATTAATTAGGAATCTTATTGGAAACAGCTGTGGGACTCCACAAATAAGTGTATGTGATGTCAACTTTTTTAGGACCCGTCCCCAGACGACTAGGGTTCAATTTCAGGTACGAAGCACAGCACTTGAAAACTTCAGCAGAGTAAAAGGGTTAATCTGCTATTCCTGCTGGGAATTTACTGCAGAATTAGTTTATGTGGTTGAGCATTAAGCTACCATCTGATGTTCCTTGTTCCTGAAAATCATCAAAGATTAGTTAGTATCAATAGTGTTTTTTCCTTTTTATTTTTTTTATCTTTTTTGTAATCAAAACAAGATGAATTTATCTTACACAAATCTTCTCCTTGGTAAATTAGTCAAATTGCAGCTAACTTTAGGCCTGCAGAAAAGAAGTCAATCTCTTGTCAATGGATTACTTTGTTTGAACCTTTAGTTACTGAGTTCAAGGCATTGGCTTGAACAATTTTTTCATCATTTAAACAAGTGTAAATCATAATAACATTCTGGTAAAACAAAGCCATAATTAACAAGCATAATGGCCTATTTCGATGTAGCATTGATGGGAAATAGGCCAATTAAAACCCATGAAAACAAAGATTTTGAAGATAATAATCGAATGGTTATTTGAAATGGAGGGGGACACCATCCATATGACCTTGAAAATGGAGAGCTCTTTCTCATTATCCTTAAAGTCATATGTTTCTAAGCAGATTCTGAGACAGACAGCTAATTGACAAGAAAGAGCAACTGTTACTCTAATAATGGAATCACACTCATCACAGGGTCCTTGCTAATATGATTATCTTCATTAACTAAAAACTATTCTTGAAAAAGAAAAAAATTCCAATATCAAAAGTAGAAAAATAGTTGCATCACATAATCATCTTTGAAAACAACTTCACTAGCATCTTTCTGAATTAACCAAGGATATATAGAGATCCATGCATCAGTCTATCCTAATTCAGCAATTCTTTATCCTCCATGCTTTCAAGTTATTAATAGAGGCTACCGTTGCTGAAGGAGTAGCAGAACTTCTGTAGTACCTGAAAGTAATGCTTATCTTTACTTGATTGCTGTAAAATTCTCCCATCTCGCACCTTTTTAACCTAATGAAGCAACCGACATAGTGCTTTGGAGCAAGCAGTGCCTTTGACAAGAGATTGGTATTCAAAATATTACCATCAGATAAAAAAAAAAATCTGCTGGAAGCATCACACGTTGATTTGCCTAAACATGTTGAAAGCTAAGAGGATTGAAAGAGAGAGGGAGGGGAGGGGGGCCCTTTTGAGATGACCTTAATAAATTATCATTATTATGGAGTATTATTCTTGATTGGCCCATTAACATTTAGTTGGAAACACAAGCACATGGATATCTAATAAGTTTGGCATTTAACTTAGCAACTAAACTTGATCAGCTTTAGTCTTATCACAGCAACAAATGATAATTAGAGAAACACGAAGGCTGCTATCATGAGGTTGCTTACCATAAATGGAAGCTTAAGATCTCATTAGCCATCATTATTGAGCAAAGCAGTGGTGTTCAAATGGCATTGACAGCATGTAATTAAGCATACTATGTAAGGAAAAGATCAGTGACAGTGATAGAATTTGATTTTCAAGTTAAAGCTGGGACGAAGGGCCAGCAAGATTATAGTGGAAATTGACTTTAATTAGAAGGCAACATCAACAATTATCAAAAGGCCTCAAGGCCTTTATTCCTATGGAAATTATATATATAAAAAAGCCTTGTCTGGTTGAGAACGTCCCATATAATCATAATTAGGTGTTTGCTTTTAGCTTTGTAGTGGGAAATTATGGTCAACTTTCTTGCCAAATTAGCATCATTACTTTTCATTCTAGGGCTGTTTCGCTTGATGTGGGATGTGTGTTGTGAATGTTTAATTGGAGCATGAATAACAGGTGTTGATTAGCCTTGTCTAATCAGTTCCACCAAAAACAAAACAACACAGAATCTAAGGTACCGCCACTATCATCAGATCCATGTTAATGTTTGGGCCAATTTCAGGCTCCCTTTCCTCCACATTACTCAAGTGCTCAGCAACCCTAACCAACCATTCAATACAGCACACAGCTTGATACTGGATTAGTAAAAAACTGGACCTGTAATTCTTCGTATGGACCTTTGGCATCCTTTACATTTTGAATGTTCAGTCCAAATAACCACAGAGTTCAGGCCCAAAGGAAGGCATATCAGCATCTTTCTTATTCTTTAAGTCTTTAGACAGTTAACAGCTAGCAAAAATGAAAAGCATTTTCCTGGGGAGGAAAGGGTCTGGTCCCCCTGGAACTTTGCCTGCTACCCTAAAGGAAAATGCCATTGGCTATTGCTCTCTCACTTTAATTATCCAATCAAACCCATTCTTTTTGGTTTCCTTTTGCTTTCAAGATATAAAATTTAATGGAATCCTAATCATCCATTTTGGATTGATCATGTGATATACAGTCTGTCACACACTACTGTTTTTCTGCTTCTGTTGTTGCTGTTACACTATTTTATTTTATTTTTTTGATCAGTTGCTACCAGCCACTATCTTCCCTTTCCTTTTTTATTCACTTCTCATAATCTCTTAACGATCATCAACTTAGTTCTGAAAGGATCTCTATTCTCTGCCTCTATCAATCCCCATGGCTACCGAGACTGCTCCATCACATCAAACTCCTTCTGACCACGAGGTTTTTAGATCACCATCCTGACTATCTTTTCTCTTTTCAGTTCTGATCAAAGTATGATATACTATTGCTTAACTGATCATTACTTCTTGGGATTCTTTAATTCTTTCCTATAATTTTACTTTTCTAACTTATCATAATTATATATATGATCTCTGATGTTTCAGTAAGATCCATGTAGGGTTTTATTACTCCTGGACTTGCATGAATGTTTTAATGATCATAGATTTGTTTATCTGACTGTATGGAAATCTTAGAACTTGTAGTTTCTTTGGATATCATTCATGAATGATTGGATAAGTTCAGTTCTTGATGCTTGTCTCTCACTCTATTCACTGTATCAGAAGCTCTGAGTAGTGTCTGCTGTTGACAGGAGAAAGATTATATATACTTGGATGTGTCCCTTTCATAATTATCTGGAAAAATAAATGACATCTTTCTTTTATATCTCCACTAATCATCAGTCTAAGCACATACGAAGTCGAGTTGGAACATACACCATTTTCTGATACATTTCGCTTTCTCAAATCTGTTGAAAGATACTGTCGCTGTGAAATTGGTACGCTAGGAATAAGGTATTTCATTTCAAGAAAATATCAAATCCATAATGAAAGTTAGTCTTGCCACCTTTATTGCCTAAGCTTTTTTTTTTTTGTGGGATATGAATTATCAAACATGGTGGCGTCCTTCTGCATTTATATCAGCTGTCACTTGGTTCTGATTCTGCCATAAAGATTCTCTTGTTTATCAACTAGGCATTATTTTTTCTTCCGGTTTGCGAGGGGGACGAGATATCCGTACTCTTTAGATGGGGAGATTAGAAATTGTTGTAGTATGTGGCTTATAAAATGATGCTGGAGTGAAGTGGAGCAGAGCAAGATTGTAAATTATTAATACATCTTGTATGGCTAGGGTTTACTATAAATACATATTATATGACTCTAATTTGACACAGTAAAATAAAGCTCTCTGTTCTTGTGGATATAGATATATTTCCGAACCATGTTAAATCTATGTGTTTTTTTGTTTCCTATCTTGTGCAATATTCATCATTATTGCAGCAAGTTTCGTAACAGAAATATGATGCTTGCAGTGCTTCATATTTGATTGCTGTTCTCTTCTTCTTTTATTTATGCACCTACACAATAGTATCCACTTGTTTTGATTTAAAAATGTCAAAGGGTGTTCCCTGTTTAATTCTCTTTGTTCATTTCTTCCAGCCAATGGAGAAAGTCGCCGAAGTAGTAAAGCCTGAGGAACCTGAAATTGTTTCTGTAGCCAAGAAAACAGAAGAAGAAGACCTCAAATCTAATGAATTAGCAAGTCAATCAACCCCGTCAGCTAAATCAGAAGGAGAAGCCGAAGATGAGGCAGAGCCTCCAACAGATGAGGTTAAGATGATTAATGATGCTCCAATTGTTGATGTTCTAGTCTATGATGAAAAGGAGTTGGAAAAAGATTCCATTCCTGACTCACATACATCCAGTGTTCTAGCTCCGGTGACCAGTGTTGTTAATGGTGAATCAGTTGCTCCAGCTATAGAGTTTGTTCCCAAAGAAGCAGAAGAGCAACCATTATCGTCATCCTTGGCGGAATTACCACTTGAAGAGCCGAAGACAGTTGATGTTCCCGTATCATTAGAAGAAGCCATTGAGAAACCACACGAGCCATCAGAAGTTCTTATTATTAAAGAATCTGAACCAATTGTGGCAAAAAACACCAAAGATTCAGGGGTATTAAAAGAAGTGGACAAACCGGAATTAGTAATTCCAGAAGTTGAAGTGAAACTACAGGAGCAATCTGAAGTTGGTAAACAAGTTGAAAAGCCAAAAACAGAAGTGATTGAGAAACCAGAGGAGCCTTTGGAAGTTATTCCTATCAAATCAGAAGCATTAGTGGTAAAAGATGCGGAAGATTCAGAACCAGTTTTAATAGAAGAAGATAAACCAGAATCAGAATTAGTAATTCCTGAAATGGAGGTGAAATTGGAGGAACAATCCGAAGTCATTAAAAAAGTTGAACCAGAAGAGAAATCAGTTGAAGTAATCGCCAAAACACAGGAGCTAGCGGAAGTTCTTCCTACCAAAGAATCAGAAGCAGTTCTTGTAAAAGATATTGATGGCTCACAAAAATTGTCTAAAGAAGCTGATAAAGTTGAAGCAGTAGCTCCTGAACCCAGGGAAGTGAAAATGGAGTCTGAAGTCACTGAACAAGTAGAAAAAACAGGGGAGAAATCTGTTGAAGCTATTGAGAAAACACAGGATTCATCGGAAGTTCATCCTGTTAAAGAATCAGAAGCAGTTGCAGTAAAAGATATTGATGATTCAGTAGCAGTGCCTGAAGTTGATAAACCAGAATCAGCAGTTCCTGAAGTTGAGGTTAAACAAGAAGAGCAATCTGAAGTAATGGAACAAGTGGAAAAACCAGAATCAGCGGTTCCTCAGGTTGAGGTGAAATTGGTGGAACAACCTGAAGTAACTGAACAGGTTGAAAAAACAGAATCACTGGGTCCTGAGGTTGAGGTGAAACCAGAAGAACAACCTGAAGTCACTACACATACGGAAAAACAAAAGAAACATGAAGTAGAGTTGAAAACTGAAGCACGATCTGAAGTTAGTGAACAGGTTGAGATTAAGCCAACTAATGAAAAGCCAGAGGAAGTAGCTGGAATTACTCAAGAGGCTGAAGTTGATGTCAAAGAGGATATAGGAAAATCTTCTCTTCCTGAAGTTGTAGGAAAGGTTGGTTCAGAAGATGAAAAAAAAGAGGCTGAAGGAACTGATCCGGTTGAAGTGCCAGTAAAAGAGGTTGTGGGAGAAGCGGAAAAGGGTGGAGAAGAGAAAGAAGCTCAGACAACCAAAGATGAGGGCGAGAATATAGCAAGTGAAACACTGAAAGAGGAACTAGCTCATCCCATCAAAGTGGAAGATGTCAGCGATGCGGTTTCAAATGCTGAAGTTACTGAAAAATCATTTGAGGGAGAGAAGACAGTTGAAAATGTTGTGCCTGCTGTAGAAGACAAGAAAGAGGAGATACCAGCAGGAGAGGAAACCGAAAAAGATCAGAAAACAGAGGGAAAGCTGGATGAAGCCACCACAAATGGCAGTAAAACAGCCAAAGAATCCCAAGATTCTGGGTTAGAAGAAAAAGAAGAAGAAAGTGCAAAAAACAACAAAGAAAACTCCGAGCAGGAAAAGTTTGATGAGATAGCGAAATCTGATGCACAGATTTTAGAGCCTTCCACCACCAAGGATGCTGACGACATAAAAGTATCACAGGATCTGCCAAGAGAAGTTCCAGCCAAGCCAACTCAAAAGCATTCAAACAACATTTTAACAAAGGTAAAGCAATCACTTGTGAAGGCAAAGAAAGCTATTATCGGGAAATCACCAACTCCAAAAACTGTCTCCTCTGATACCAAGGGGGATGTTAAAGTCAATAATTAAATGCATCAGAATGACAAAGTTTGCATATACTTATACAGATTTGGAACCTTTCATTGCGAAGTATATAGGTGTGCATAAAGGCGTTTCTTCTTCCCCACCACGCCGATCACTTGGTTGTATGTATTGATAGTGTGATGGTGGTTGGTGTTGTTGGGTTTGATTTTATCAGTAGCAGAAAAAATTATGTACTTGTTGTTACACAGCGATAATGTTGATTTGTGTATGAGATTGGATTCTTTTGTGTTCTTTGTATCTGTCAACTAGTTGCACAGTAACATTTTATGAAGGGTGTAGGAACCTCCAGCTAGATGAATACCAACGATCGTGTGTCTCCATTTATATAGGCTTTTCAGGATTTTGAGTAGAGAAGAACATAGAATTGGTTGAACCTTGCGGAAGAGCTAATGAGACTTCACTCTTTCCATGTATGGTGACACGTGCCTCACCTGGTACTGAAGCAGACATTGAAACAGCAGTCACAACGAATAACAGATATTGAAGTTAGATTTGTAAGAAGCTTTATGAGCCCAGTATGATGTAGAGATTCTGGAAAAATGGTACATGGTTATTATGCTTGAGAGGTTGTATAACTACGGTATTGGAAAATAGGTGTTTTTTTTCATTAATTCAAAGAAACTGTATTGAGAGACCTACAACAGAAAACACTCGAATACATATTTCCGGTTGGTTCACTCCTAGACAGCGCATTATTTTCTCAGGTTGTGCAAATGAATGTACAGATGCTAGAAAAAACCTCCTTGAGTCTCCTCAACGTACAAAAAATCTGTGCAATTTGTAATTCTACTTCCCTGAAATTACAACTCCGACGATTATCGTAAAAACTTGACTTCATTAAACTCTGGAACCTTTCTGCATAGTCATGTACCCAAAATCCCACAGATTTACTGCATACAAGGAAAGTTTAGATGTTGACATGAAGCAAAAGTGGTTCACCTCTCCCATTGCAAAGCATCAGAACTACCAATCAGTCCCAACCTGCAGCGCGTTGAAGTAGATAAAAAAAACTTTTACCTCTACAAGCCATATCGAGTAGATTTAAGATCAACGTTTAGCACAGCCAACAGTCATTGCAAATGCTCACCAGCCTCACTACTTGGTACATTGTCATTTCCACCAACCGACTTCAACGCTCCATTGTCAGCAACTCCTGAGCCTTGAGTATTTTTTTGCACCAAAGCAGGTTGTTCAAAGCATTCATTTGTTGCCTGGCACTGGCATCATGAACAATGTAGCTAATTTTAGATTTGGGTTCAGTAATGGCACAAGGTAACTCAGTTGAAGTAGAGAACATAGTTTTCTGTGAGGTTACCCCAACTATCAAAGTCAACTTTGTACTTTATAAAGACTTCTTGGCTGCTAGGAGGTTATGAAAATGACACCCCAAATAACATCTATAATTGGATCTAGATTCTACGTTCCAATCGAAACATGCCCACGATCTTTGAACAGAAATTGGATAACGAACAATACAGTTTGATAAATTATAAAAAAAACATGTTCTCCATGGAAATATCCTTCATGAGGAAAACATAAATGACACTGATTTAGTTTTTACTTTTACAGGACGATGGACGAAGAGTGACAGCTTTAAAGACATAAATAGATAGATCAAAATTTAATAGTCGTGTACTTATATGAAGGCCATACTTGCAATTTTCCATCATGCAACATTGGTATGGGATTAGAATGCACCTAAAGCTACTAAATTCCTTCTATTGGGAGTGGAGAGGAGCCGTGAAGATGGTGATTATCAAGAACAACAGACATCAATCATCATCGTGAAATGAAAACCCATTTAGCCACATTCAATTTTGAGCTTTTCATTCTCATAGAATATGCCACTTAGTTAAGAATCAACAAACCTGACTAGAGGTCTGATTCATTGAGCTATTGACAACATTATTCTGCATCACTTGCGGGTTGATTTTCTGAATTGCTTCATGTGAACTACAGGCCGTAGCTGAATCCAAATTATCCATAGCACCTACCACACCACAAGCATTTGGTTCCATGTTTGTTTTCAGAGGAGGCCCTCCAGACATTGGCATTAAGGGTGCACAGGGAAATGACACTGGAAATCCTTGACCTGAAAGGCCGAACATCTGAAGACTCGATCCTTCCATCCTATGCAAAGCACTTAGCCCTGACATTGGCTGGCCTGAGAAATGCGGTCCATGCATAGGAGGCACTTGATACATAGGGCAACCAGAAGATCCACCATTCACGTCTGGCATACTCATCCCAAAACCCATTCCCATTCCCATACGCATTCCCATTCCCACACCCATGGGTAAGAACTGCCCCATATGAGCTGCATGCATGTGAGGCATTCCAGGGGGTAACATCATTGATGGCATATACAATCCAGCTCCCATTGACATGATCTGCATACAGGTGGTGAATGATCTCAAGCAGCTCTTTGATTTTCGAACTCATCAAGTTTCTTAAATAAACTTCGAGAGGAATCAGCAGAATTTACCTGAACTTGAAGCTGAAGCGTCTTTAAATACTCAATGGCCTCATCAAGCATTGAAGCTTTATCCACCTTATAATGCAAAAATGTCAAAGAAAATGGAAGCAAAGATGCATATGAAATCATCTACACTTTAATTACTTGGCTTTTCTCAAATTCCTTCAAATTTCCTGGAGATCAGCAATAACTTTAACCTAAGAAAACTGAGGGGTGATTCGATTAACATAACGGTCAAGAACTTGGAATAGTTTGAACTTCAATAAACATGAACAAACTCAAATAATTAATTAAATTTCAATTAGGCCAAGGTTTGGTGCAGGTTTGATACTCCCAAGCCATGGTGACTTTATAGAAAACCTCATTTTCACAAGATTACGGAGAAATTCACTGAGTAACATAAATACAATATCCAACCTTATTACAGTTTGGTATGAGTTCTTGTAGGGCCCGCATCTTTTCGTTGATCCTGTCCCTTCGCCTCTGTTTGTTGAAGTCCAGATGAGAACCGATCAAGATACTATAATTCATAACTACCAAGGATAACATCAAATGAACAAGCACATATCTTCAGATGAAATATTGGAATGTTGTTGCTCACCCTTTCAGATAAATTATGAACTTCTGCAGCCCGGTTTCTCTTGGAGCCATTACCTGCTCGAGCAGGAGCTTGTTTTTTTGCACCTACAGATTCTTCTTCTACATCCTGCGCATTGTTTATTTCCTTAGTACATGGAAGAAAGAGAGAGAGTGTAGGAACAACAAGAAACATAGTAAAAATGTGAAACCTATGAATGAAACTCACTTCACTAGGACCTTCAGACTCCTCAGTATCACGATGTTTTCTCTTCAGATTCTCAGTTGGATCATCCGAAGGTCTCTCCACACTATTGTCCGAGCCAACAGAAGATGAAGCAGCCACAGGCTCTTTAGTCTTCTCAACATCTGCTACTCCTTTAATTGCACTTTCACAAAAGTTTTGACGACAGTTTCTATCATTTTTAGAGTCACCTTCTGAGATTGTAGCCTCAGGTCGCTCAGCAGGAACAAATCCTTCTGCAGGCTTGGCCTCTGATGGTTTAGCGTCAACCTTGGGTGGCATCAGAACAGGAAGACAATGGGAGCTCGTTTCCTTTAGCAAACCACTACATGAATTAATGGGAGTGCATTCAGCCGGATTGCTACTACTTGCAATTGAGCCCCTATCTTTATTTTGCATTCTTTCCATGTTTGAAATCCCTGTACCAGCTCTCATGCCAAAGTTCTGAAGATTAGCTTTCGCAAGAGCAGCAGGTCTTGCAAAATGAGAGAAATTCATCAAACTAGAGTTGGTTGTGGATTGTGCTGGAACTTGCTTCTGCATCTTTATGCTGGGAAAACCACCTCCTGATGTTGGAGCTCGAATAGAATCCACTGAAACGACATGGTGGGCAGCATTGCTTGCACTATCACCATTTTTAGCTGAAACTCTGGATCTAAAATATGGAAATGATGTTTGGCAATGCTCAGAAGATGATAGACATAACTGGCTAGCACTAGTTCTAGGCCTATTAGCTTCAGTATCCCCTGCTGAAGAATTCTTCGCCACATCTCCTTGCTCTAAACTCAAACCATCATGTACAGAAACAGTGCGGGAGTCCCTAACTGACTGGCTAAAACTTTTGTTACCAAACGACGGAAAATTACTCTGGGAGGAGTGTCCATTCACAGTAACACCAGATAACTCGGGCAAAAATTCAGAACAATAATCATGTTGAGGAGATTCATCCAATGGATAATTCAACCAAGGCACCATGTCATCATCTTGATTCACCCCCATTTCAACAGCGGGAACTGACATCGGGAGTTCATTCAGTGTAGACTCGATCATCCCAAACTTTCCTGTTCTAATATTGGTGCCACTTCCTATGTCTTTATATCGAATCTTGGGGTTTTGACATGTTAAGGTGCTACAAGGTTGTATCTTTCTAGCTCTACTGGATTGAATCTGACCATTTTCCCACATTAGCTCACCAAAGTCATTCTCAGGTCTGCTTTGTAGGACACCAACAAACACAATAGAAGAAATGATACCAGAAAGAAACAAATCAATATGGAGAAATGATTCACTAATCCAAGATAAAAGGAAGCTCAATAAAAAAAAAGGAAATTAAATTGAAACTTACACAAAAGACAGATCAGTTGAACAACTAGGATCCTTCTCTTGAGAAGAATCAATCTTTCCTTTAGCCATTCGATATAATAGCTCAGACAAAGGCATGGTGAAGGTGTTGGTAAGCAACACTTCCTCCTAGTAAGAATCCTCTCTAGTTCAATTGCTTAGCCATTACTGGCACCTTTTGTAAACCACTCTATCACAAGTTCAAAGAACCCAAAAACATATGTATATGGAGCCAACAGAGTTTCAAGACATAAAAAGCTCGACAATAACCCCACAAGTACAATACAATCCCAGTTTGTATCTAACTCACAAAAGAAATAAAAGAGAAGAGTGCTTCTTCTTTTACAGGACAGAATATTATCTTTCTTTCATTTATACTGATGTCCTTGTCACCTGGAAGTGAGATATATAAATAAACTATAAATCAACACATAGTTTTACTTAAAGTAGCAGTCAAAAAACATATTCTTTAATGGCACTCTCAAAGATTCAAAAACCCTCCAAATCAAGCTACTTTAAGCATTTTTTTTTTTAAATTAAAGAAATGATCTTTTCCGCTTCTTTAATCATTAAACTTGAAACCAACAAAAACCCAGATCAGATTTTGGAAACTAATTAACTTTATCAGTACAAATCAAAACTAAAAACCCCAAAAGGGAGTGATATGCTATAAACTTGAAGAACTCAAAACACTTCTTGCCTAGCAATCAACCAATAAACTGATAAAAAGGAAGAAAATTTTGAGAAAATCTGAGCTCCTCGAACTAGTCGAAAGTTACACTAATCCAAATGCATTAAAAATGAGAGAACTTAGCTGAGCAAATCATACTCTTAAGCTTAATAGAAGCTACCAAAAGTTTGTATCTTTAAAAGTTTGAGCTCCAAGAAAGAGAACTCAAAATCTCAAGAGACAGAGAGGCCAAGTGGACGTAGAAGACGGCGAAAGGCTTGTAGAGATTGCAGGGGACCAAGACACAGATAAAAAACAACCAACTTTACGTTTCTTTTAACTTTAACCCCTCCTTTTTTTGGATCTTCTTTTCCTTTTAGCTAGTGTTAGAATTCAATATGGTCTTTTCCTTGTTATCTTCTTCTTCTTTTTTCCTTGTTCTTTGTTTGGTGATGTGGGGCCATTTCTTCAGGGAGTGCTGTAGGGTCCCACAGAGGCAATTTCACTCTGCGATAGCACTCCCACCACTCTCATTTCTTCAAACATGAATCTTGAATCCATCATAATATGAAGGTTTGTTTGCATAATATGGAAAATATAGAGAACGGATGCTCCAGGTTTTCAAGTTTAGAGTGTGTACATAAAAAATGATTGAAAATTCCCTTGGTTCCTCGTTGAAAGAAGAAGAAGCAACCATCGGTTTATTTGTTTTTGCATGCCAATCTATTTCAAAACTAATTTTTATTTAAAAGAGTATTAGATTAAAATATTTTTTTTATAATTTTAATATATTAATATTAAAGATTTTAAGAAATATTATTTTAATAAACATTTAATACAAAAAATATCATGGATCACAGTACAAAACAAACATAAAAGTTTTACAAAAACTTGTATATTTTCTTCTTCAAGGGGGATTATAGGCAAGGGGGTGCTTCCCCTTTTGAAGCTTGAATATTTTCATAAATCTGTTAGATTGGCAGTGAGTGATTCATTGTAAACTGAATAATAGGAAAGGTAAAATCAGTCACTTCACACAAACAAGATCCTACAACACTACATAGCGACACAAAAAAAAAAGAAGAAAGAGAAGGTTGTGAGTTTAAGTTCAAGAAGGGCAATTGAGGTAGGTTCATCTTGCTAGAATTTGAGGGACAATGTCCCTATTCCATGAATTTGAACACCAACGTGTATATATATATTATCCTGCAGTAAATATTGTCTAGTTATATATGGCCTTCGATGCTTGTTTTCTTATGGAAAACAAAAGCATCATATCTACATCATTTATTTTCTGCTTTCAAAAGCTTTGAGAATTATGCACATGAGGATTAGGAAAAAGTCATTTGACTCAGCTAGGTATGGTGACTCAAACTCATCTTCGTGGTCTTCGTATTAATTTGGAGTAACTCTTGTCATTCTTGCGTGCCAGCAGTGGAGGATCGATGTGAACAGAGCCTGCTCAAGATGGATGGATGTGGGTTTTTGAGAAAAATTATAAACAGAATCTATTAAAATATTTAAGAAATAATGGCATTTGGTTTTACTTGATAGACTGTGATCACTGATATGAAATCTAATCATGAGAAAATTGGCCTAAGGGGGGGGAAAAAGAGTCTAAAGTTGAACATCTCAATTGTGATATCCAGTGATTGCATGATTAGTTCTCAGGTGAACAAAATCTATGCATTTGATTATCATTTTTGCCCTTTCCACTAGAGGTCATAACATGACCTCTCATGAGGTCAAGACTGGGATTTGACGAGAGTAAGTGAATTTACATCTCACTGTATAACAAGCAAGCTTAGAGTTAGGGGACATCAAGATCTCTAGTTTAATATATTAAATTGGATTTGGATAAACATGTTGGACCCATTCAACTAAAATATAAAATGCTGTAGGGTTGAAGTGGGATAACTTATCAAGCAAAGAATACTAATTTAATAGATTGATTATATTTTTTTTTAGGGTACATATATTTGTTTAATAATACCAAGTCTTGTATCTAAATGATTTTAAGCCTGCACTTTTCACAATATCCATCTTATTCGTTAAATAATCCCTTTTATGTAAATTGTAAATGAGATGATTAAAACTATGTTTTTTATATAAATTTGAATTCTTTCTTTTTCTTAAAATAAATTAATCTTGTTTTATGAAAAAATATTTTTTAATAAATATAAAAAATATTATTTTAACGTATATGCAAAACAAAAAATCATTTGAAAAAATATATATATATATATCCGTACCTTTTCACAGTCTCTCTCTAATTAGAGTAGATGATAGAGGGAGCTCTAATGGAAGTACATTTGCTTGAGCAGGGATCATCAGCAAGGGGATGCTTGCGTGTCTTTAACGGTGAGGACAAAAGGATTCCATGAACAAAAGTTAAGGGGTTTGGATAGATATACAGATACATGAAGATGGAGAGAACCTAGCTGTTCATCTCATGTGCTATATTTTCCCAAGTGAAATGATATTTGTCCACTTGGACCCTTGTAGAGCCGAGCCAGTAGGGGACTCGGCAGTGTTTCAGTGGACCCCCAGGTTGCGGCTAGCTGCCAGGGCATCTTTCTCTATACATCCCCTGTTTTGGTGCACTGTACAGGGCGACATGATGGTGGATGGAGAAATTACGAGGTGGATGCGACTTGATTTTACACACCTTTGGATTTTGTTCACTGGAATTGACCCTTCTGAAGAAGAATCCAACAGGGTGATGGTGTGAATTTCACGTGTTTGCATTAATTTCACGTGACTCGCTCTTTGGTTCATGTGTGTCGTCCGTCCATTGCCATTGGCACCATTGACACATAGCTTTCCTGGAATCATCACCCACCACCTACTCTCTTCTCCGATGAATGATTCCATCCACCGAGTTCTGGGTTCTATCAGCTCCAGTCAGGTATCCCAATCAGCAATGTTCTGTACCCACCGGATTTGCTAGCATTAATGCGGTAATTGACAGCCAGTACACCTGAAAATCTTTTACGCCTGGTCTATGCAGGCGGGATAAAGAGGCCATGTCCTTCGAAATGCTACTTTCTAGGTCCTGCTGCTGATGCTGATGCAATCCCAGTAATGGAAAAAACCACGCAGCCGTCACTGCACATTTCTCCCCCGCGCACTACATCCGCATTCTGAATCATACATGGCTCAGCTGTGATGACTCCCATTCCATATGTACTTTATTAATATTCCAAATTCTCATGCCATGGTAGGTGATGAAACCTAAGCAAATGATACATAGTGGAAGCATTTTCTCAAGGAAAAACAATAAACAAAACAACTTAAACAAATATCAGTGTAAAGGACATCCCCAAGATAATGGGCACTCAAGAATTATATAATAAAGGGGATGCTGTACCTCTTACTGTTGCAGGGATGTGAGGACAGTAAACGAAAATGTAAAAAAAATTAAAAATAAAATACAAGCGACCCTTTCTAGAATGCTGACGCTAAGAGTAAGAGGGGTCCAACACAAATTTAATAGTTTTCTTGGCTTTGCAGCCCTAATAAATAAATTGGACCTTAATTTAGACGAATCGTGCTCTCTCAATGCCCTAATAGCCCCTCCAGGGAGGTCCACTCTCCTCCCATATCTAACATACACATTGCACATGTATTTTTATAACTATAAACTATTATTTTCTTAATTGCTTTTACCGTGTGATAACATAAAAAAATCCAGCTGTTTGGGTTTGCAGATATTTGGAAATAGCTCAAAGAGCTGGAATCCTCACCCAAATGGTTGGGATTTTCAGCACAGCATATGAGCCAACTAACTAGATTTATCTAATCTTATCCTGGTACACCTTTCAACATCTTTTTTCCACGTGCACACATTTCACGCGCACAATTTTTTCTACACGCACATTAATTTATCTTATTATTTTTTTCTATCAATAACACTGCACATCACTAACATATCATATCACCAATAACGTACGTGATACAACAACTATAACATAACATAACAACTCACCATGACTAGCTAGCTATCACATCAATTTCTCCATCAATAATAAACCTTATTTTCTGTGAAATAATTCCAAATTCTAGATATATAAATACTCTCAATCACCGTGCAAACTCTATATCGATAGTTTATCATGCGCAAAGCTCCTTCTAGCCATTGAAAGCTACACTTGAAAATACACATTCAAGGGCTAAGGCTCGGATGGGCCTGGATGGTTTCTAGTCCATATTAATATTTTTTAATTAGTTTTATATAAAAAATAGTTTGTAGTTTTTAATTGAGATATAAAAAAATTTTAAAAATTTATATAGAGCTTTTTATTATGATGCTTTAGCTTAGGTTAAAATTTCAGAACTTTTGAAAAACTTCAAAATTTTAATAAAAAAATCATAATTTAACTAGTTTTATATTATTAGGTGTAATTTTCAATCCAACAATCAAATTAAGCTAAAATTTTACGAGAGATCTTAAGATATATTAAATAAAATCTAATTAAAACTTTAAGATGAACAGAATTTGGTTGTGCTAACAAAAAAAATATAAAAATAATAGCAAAATGACTCATTAAGGATAAAATAGTTATTTGCTGTTAAAAAATAAAATAAATCAGTTCTTCTTCTTTTTTTTTTATATGTTTTCAACTGGGCAAAAGCATAATAGAAAAGGAAAGAAAACAAAAGGTGATGGAGAAATAGAGAAAAGTAAGGGGAAAATATCAAAAAATAAAAAAAGTGAGAGAATAACATTGTAAACTTATAAAATACTAATCTAATAAGAATTAAGTGAAAGAATGAGAAATTAAGTGAGGAAAAAAATTTAATTACTTAGTTTTTTAGTTGATATGAGATTGTTATTTTATCCCGATTGAGGGGTTATTATAATATCGATTCAGATTCGATTATAGATGAATAATATTCCATAAAATATTGAAAGATGTAACTTTAATAGTGAGTTTATTTTTACTTTCATTTTTATTTTATATGCTTTCAAATTTATTTTTTAATATTTTAAGTAATGTATTTGAATTAAAACTTTACTATTAACTTTAAAAATCCATGTACATAAATTAATAATTTATCTTTAAAAAATTATATATTTATTTAATAATCTAGGTCAACAAAAATTCATGTCTCCACTCTTGTATACATTCTCATTCTAGTTATAAAAATCAAAGCTACTCATGTCATTTTCAGCCTGGTCTATAGATTCTTTTTCTCTGTATATTTCTTTTCGTGCATTTTTTTCACAAGTTATATTTCTTTTATACTTGCTGACTAAACAAGAAACTTATTTTGGAGGAAAGTTTGTGTACTCATGATCAAGTTCAGTCACAGCCATGGAAAATCAAAAGTTTTTGTGTGACTTCATCTCTATGTATGTGGAGCTACTAGCAGAAGAAGCAAAGTTTCGGGTGCTATAAACAAAAACAACCAGCTACTTGGTACTACATCATATTCTCTTTTTTCTACTCACGTAGTACCATTGGTCGAAGCAAATTCCTAAATGCTACATTTATATACATATACATATTAGTTTGCGTTCTCGTGATCAAGTTCAGACACTAACAGGCATAACAATGGAAAATCAAAAGTTTTTGAGTGACTTCATCTCTTTGTATATGGAGCTACTAGCAGAAGAAGCAGAGCTCCAGATGCTATAAACAAAAACAACCAGCTACTTGTTACTACATCGTATTCTATCTTTTCTAGTCACGTAGCATCGCTGGTCGAAGCAAATTCTCAAATGCTACACATATATACATATACATATTAGTTTGTGTTCTCGTGATCAAGTTCAGACACTAACAGGCACAACTATGAAAAATCAAAAGTTTTTGAGTGACTTCATCTCTTTGTATGTGGAGCTACTAGCAGAAGAAGCAGAGTTCCAGATGCTATAAACAAAAACATCCAGCTACTTTGTACTACATCGTATTCTCTCTTTTCTAGTAATGTAGTACCATTGGTCGAATCAAATTCCTAAATGCTACATCTATATACATATATACATATTAGTTTGTGTTCTTGTGATCAAGTTCAGACACTAATAGGCATAACCATGGAAAATCAAAAGTTTTTGACTGACGTCATCTCTATGTATGTGGAGCTACTAGCAGAAGAAGGAGAGTTCCAGATGCTATAAACAAAAACAACCAGCTACTTGGTACTACATCATATTCTCTTTTTTCTACTCACGTAGTACCATTGGTCGAAGCAAATTCCTAAATGCTACATTTATATACATATACATATTAGTTTGTGTTCTCGTGATCAAGTTCAGACACTAACAGGCACAACTATGAAAAATCAAAAGTTTTTGAGTGACTTCATCTCTTTGTATGTGGAGCTACTAGCAGAAGAAGCAGAGTTCCAGATGCTATAAACAAAAACATCCAGCTACTTGGTACTACATCGTATTCTCTCTTTTCTAGTCACGTAGTACCATTGGTCGAATCAAATTCCTAAATGCTACATCTATATACATATATACATATTAGTTTGTGTTCTTGTGATCAAGTTCAGACACTAATAGGCATAACCATGGAAAATCAAAAGTTTTTGACTGACGTCATCTCTATGTATGTGGAGCTACTAGCAGAAGAAGCAGAGTTCCAGATGCTATAAACAAAAACAACCAGCTACTTGTTACTACATCGTATTCTATCTTTTCTAGTCACGTAGTACCGCTAGTCGAAGCAAATTCCCAAATGCTATATACATATACATATAGATATTGAGTCCTAGATTGATAAAACTAACAATCATCCTGCTATTCTTTGAATAAATCATAATATTAAGCTCCTATGTTTCACTGTGCTTAAGCATGTGTGTCCATCATTTATATATACACATACACGGTAATTATACACTGTGATCAACACCTAGCAAGCATCTAGTTGTACTTGTTCAAGCATGTTGGGGGGGAGGGCCCATGTTATTGCTGAATTAAAATAGCCATGCCCACAGTGTTTAATTCTGAAGCTAAGAATAATTAGGCAATGCACTGATGGCCCAAATATTAACAGATCAGATACTGTTGAGTGCTTAGCTAGCACAAGTTCAAAAACAGCTAGAAGCATGCGGAACATAACACGTCATAAGGAATTTTATTTGATCAGAAACGAAAAGGATAAAGAGATTTACAAGCCCATTGGACTTGAAAAGAGTTGTCAAAAACCGATGGCTCTCGGCGGGTTTGCCCCTACAAATGCTCTTTCTTCAATTTCCATGTGGCGAATCATGGACGTGACAGATTAAGTTAGAGGATGACACCTGCCTAGCTAATCTAATCAATTGTCCAAGTCCTATCTAAGAGATGCATGCACACAACTGTACGAGATTTTAAAGGAAAAGCTGAACGGATGAGACCAGTTTGATGATGAGATGATGATGAGATATGATTAAGAATGCAAGTTGATCACATGATGCCTTTGCATGAAGGTCAGAAACAAGTCAAAACAGCACCAAATCAATCTCAAACTTATTCTACTCCATAAAAATACAATTAGCTCTCTCTCTCTCTCTCTCTCTCTGTATGCTCCACAAGCGTTCTTTGAATCCTTACATGTCTCAGTCCACCCATGATTCACAACGATTCATGGTCCTCAAACAACATGGTCCTGTATGGACAGCTAATTTATTTGTCAATGACTTATCTTTCATGTTGTCACCTTAAATGTGTTCTTCCAGATTCATCACATTCAGACCCAGTTGTTATCTTTGAATTATGTGAAATTATATCTATATATATTTCTTTGAGGAAACTAAGGATCGCACAAGGAACTTAATTTCTCCTCAAAGAGACTCATGATGATGGAACTCACTCATACATGAAATATATATATATCTATACATATTTCTTTCAATTTGGCGAGCTATCAATTTTTTACTCGGGTCAACCAAGATACGAACTCATTCATACATGAAGCCTTGTTGAACATGCAAAGCCATCGACCTGATCAGAAGTTTATTCAACATTTTTTCATAATACCAATATTTTTTTTTAGTGCAAGATCAAGCATACAAATGCATAGTACTACAACATGATTTTCCGTCTATTTACAGGTAGGAGAGGGAATCAGTCAATAATTTCCATCTTGGATCTTGCTTTCCTGTGTTTTCTGAACATCTTATCATGATCTACAACATTAATCACTATATGTCATCAAGCTTAACGTCATCCTCAATTATATCTAGCATGTCATTTTTGAGGAGAACATGCTTATGAGGATAATTTTTTTTTAGTAACTAAATGTAGTTAACACAGCATGATATTGCTTGCAAAAGCTTGCCAAAATGCAATTCCTTCCTCCTGAGGTACATCTATTTGCTTAGATAGTGCACTGACCTTATGATGAAAATTCAAGAAGAGAAAGATAGGTTAGAAAAATTCCTAAAAGGTGTTTGATATTTTTCTTATTGTTTATTCTTGTTGAAACTTGAATATATCTGGGCTATTTATAGCCCTCTAGTATAGCTTAACCAGAGCTGCATGATATTTTTCTTATTGTTTATTCTTGTTGAAACTTGAATATATCTGGGCTATTTATAGCCCTCTAGTATAGCTTAACCAGAGCTGCATGATATTTTTCTTATTGTTTATTCTTGTTGAAACTTGAATATATCTGGGCTATTTATAGCCCTCTAGTATAGCTTAACCAGAGCTATGATCGCTGAAAAATATATAATGAAGAAAATCTTAATCTATATTGAAAAACAATCAGAACTCATATCCTCATCATCTTCAGTTCCTAATCCTGTCAGCTTCTAGTCTCTACCGTAACTTTGAAAATCATTGGTTGTCCTCACCTTACTACGACATTCTGCCAAAAGGAAAAATGTTTACTGGTTAATAGTCACTGGACTCAAAACTATCCCTGATGGGGAAGACTCTGTGAATCCGGAATTTGAGGCCATGCTCTAATTTGTAAGATAATGGGCCATTCCACTGCCAGAATCCTCAATCAACATACATGAAATATGAATGAGCCCAAACATGTCACAAAAATAAGCCCATAGAGGGAAAAACCCTAAGGGGCTTTCACTAAAGAGACCGACAGTATCCATGTGGGAAAGGTCAAAAGGAACTGCCAAAGCATTCCATGTTCACTGACTAAAAGGTGGAAATGAGCGGCCAAGATCATTGTTTCCCCAAAGAGATGCCCTTGATCTGGCGGTGAACAATTAAAGTAGCTAGGGTTGGAAATTGGCAACACAATATAAAGGGATGGAAGGCCAGGATAAGGGTTCATAGTTGCCTCGGTAGCCGCTTGTTAGTTGGCATGTATGGGAGGAAATGGAGAGGGAGTCTGTTTTTCGGAAGGTTATAGGGTGGGTGACCGGGGAAAATAACTTTGGTTTTTAAGATATTACTTGTTATTTTCCCTACTCCACCCATCCCATAGGTTTCCGATCATTCCTCCCTCTCCTCATCACTCTGCTTATCATGGCCTGTTTATCTGGTTTGTATACTTCTCCTGCATGTATACACGCGGACGCGGATCAATCTCTCTGTGTTGTGTCTATGAATATATGGATGGATCTTGTGTGCAGGATTCTGGATCTAGTCTATCTCGTCTGCTAGTGAATACTTCTACGTTTTCTTGAAGCCCTCATCTACTATCTGAACGGCACTCTTTAAGTAGTTTCTTTCCAAGTGAATCTCTATGCAAGTGTAAATAATATAAGCAAGTCTAGTAAACTAAGCTATAAATAAAGAACAAATACCTTCAAAGTGATTTCCTGTTCATACGATAATCGCAGTGAGTACTGCAAAACTAATCTTGAATCTTGAGTTCCCAGTTGAGCAGACGCCGGGCATGGAAGGTCCTCACTGACAAGCTGTGACTCGTTCGAATATAAGCATTCGTTGAGTGACACTGCACCCTGAACGCCGTCCTTTATTACAGCAACAAAATAAAGGCGGCCATAGTTTTAAATTTTCCAGCTTAAATCAGAACAACCCAGTGAAGGCAAAGCAAAGCAAAGCAAATAAGCATGTGCTGGGGGGATATGATTTCAACTACTCGGAAGATGTTAAAAGAGGCCTGCGAACAGAGGTTCGCTTGACAGGTTTTAACTCGGATTAAACTTCTCCATGTGAATTAAAGTGTTGAGCAGCTGTATTACTGGTATATTTCCAGAGCTAGATTAATATTCCTTGTGAGACTGAATTTCCAAAATATTGTAAAACAATCGGTCACCAATAATCCATGCAGGAACACAAACCATTGGCGAACTGGTGAAACCGGTTGAAATCTTCCACAATAACCTGTCATGAATCTCTCTGGAGCAAACTTCATAACTCTGTGGCCATCTCCACAAGTTCTCAGATTCATCTTTATACGAATTGGTGCCCCAGCAGGAGGTGTGCTAGAAGCTAAAATGCAAGGGCGCGTTTCTCAGTGAATCCCACATGCTCTGCTCCTAGTTTCAGCTACATGCCAGTTTTTCTTCGCCAAGTCCTCCAACTTTCTCAGCTATCATAAATCTCATCTGCCCTTAAACATATTTATTTTATTTAACTAATTCTTTTTAACGGTCTCCAGATCATGTTGACATCTTCTTATTAAAATTATTGAAAAAAACTCAAAAAAGCAACAGCTCGGTTTGATTATCTTTTTAAAACTAAAACCCATTTAAAAAAAAGTTGAACATATGAGGAAACGGAAGAGTCACAGACCAGCACAGAGCAGATGCCGAAAATGCTGCCCGCTTTGATAAAAGAAATGGGCCCGCAGAGCTGTTGCTGCAGCGTCGGTGGGTGCTGGTGCTGGGAAAATGCCCGATGTGGTCCTTTGGATTTGAAAATCTTATCGGTAATGTCGAAGAGCACATCCCTGTGGATCTTTATGTTAATCTAAGTCTGACTTTAATTATCTGCTTAAAACATGGATCCTCAAAAATGGTTCCATCTCACGCACCAAGACAGGGGAATAAAGTGAGATGATTTACCCATTGCTGTGGGCAGGAGGGGTGTTAGGCCACGACAGACATCTGTAATATTTGAATTATTTAATCCATCCGGTTAAAATTAGATGTTATTAATAAATAAATATTATAGGTTATGTGTAGATGTTTTTACATAAATTTTAATCTATTATTAATAAATAAATTAGATGTTATTTGAATTATTTAATCCATCCGGTTAAAATTAGATGTTACTATTTAACTTGACTGAAACTATATAACTTGATATCAGTAACTCAGGTCTTTAGCATAAATGTTTTTTTTCCCTTTTACTTTCACACTTAAAGTTATTTCTTATTCTCTTGATTTTCCTTTTTATTCTTCACTTTTACATAAATTATAGTTATACATTTTAAAATTTTGATTTGTTGAAGTGACAATGCATTTTTCAATTCTAATATTTTCTGTTCAACGACCAAGCAAGATATCATGAGAAAATAAATGGAAATTTCAAGAATATAGATTAAACTTTTATTTTCTTAACCAAATCATAAAATTAAAACCACTTAATAGATATTTTTTTCTAATTCATCTTTGTATTATATTGCACCCTAATTGTTTAATAAAGTATTTGATTTTTTTATATGAAAATAATTATAATTTTTATATTGTTTCTAATATATGTATTTTAAGTGTATTATCTAATTCCAATAGTTGGAACAAGGTATTTTTTAATATTAAAAAAATAAAAATTTTAATATTTATAATATTTATAAAAATTTTAGCCAAAACATGTTAAACATATTCCAATCTAAAAAAATCTGAATGTATCGTATTTATATTTTATAAATATCATGAGTTTTATGTATCCTACAAGAATAATAATGGGAAAAGGGAAAGAAAACGGAGAACGGAGAACCTATGGGTTGGAATGCTCGTGTTTCTACATGGCAAATTCTATTTTTTAGCCTTGGCATATCAGAATTTATAACCAAATATGTAACCACCGTGTAAATCGCATACATATATATATATATATATATATATATATATATATATATAGAGAGAGAGAGAGAGAGAGAGAGAGCCCGATTCTTTTAAATATAATATTTTCCATGATTCTTTCTAATTGAATTTTAAGCAGGATTGTTCGCCTTCAAAAATAAAAATTATATGATATCATATCTTAATATAAGTAGTACAGTTAACGAAAACAGCAAAATCACTATAAATAAATAAAAGATAAAAGAAGTGGATTTAATCGGGATTGCTGAAATGAAATAAAAACAGTTAAATAGATTTCTTTCACGCTCTAAATTTAAAGTATTATAACGCACAAATTTATTTTCCATGAATCATTTAATCCTGATGTTAATGACTCGCTTTTTTTTTCAATTAAACAATTAATCGAATTTGAACATGTTAAACAAAAAAACTAGTACTAGAGAATATTATCAGCCATGAAAAATAAAAATAAGAAAAACATGGCTGAGAAGGGCGGTCGCTTCGCCTCGATGATGACAATATTTATATCGATGCCTGTGGCCATGCACCTTTTCGGCCTCCATTGCCGCCGTTGTTCCTCCTCTCCGCGGCAACCTGGCAACCCTCTTATTTCATTATTAGCTGTCAATAAGACGATGAGGGGGGAAGGGATTATTACCAAAAGTCAATGGTTTTCAATGGCCCGTGTCTTGTCAAACCGGGCTTCGTTTCGATCCTCCTCCTCCTCCTCTTCTATCAAGTGATTGATTTGATCATTTTATTGATAAATTAAAATCAAATTAAAACTAAGGTTTCGTTGCTCAATTATTTTGAAAACATGTCTTTTACGCAAAGATTGCTATTGATGGCACTATAATTAGCTTTAACATCTTTCACGTTGAACTATTTGTACCATTAATTGTATCGGTGCAATTATGATTTTTCCTCCCCGCTTGAGAAGATTAATACAGATTTTTAATGGTATTAAAGTTTTTTTTTGCATAACTCATTAATTATTATTAAATTAATTAAAAATAAATAGTTTTTTTCTCGATTCAATCACATAGTAAAATAACTAAAATTACATAATAAAAGTAATGTTGATGGATTTTTTATATTTTCATAATAATTTTATTATTATTATTATCAAGTTAGTGTGTAGTTTCTCTTATTCTTTTAATACATTAAAAAAATACATTTGCTCTATCTAAAAATTAATTAATTAATTAATTTAAAGGTAAATATAACATGAGAAAGTTATCTCATGAAAAACATCACGATATGTATGATTAATTTTCTCTCCCTTTGTATTTATATTTTTCATATATTATAAATATTCTTTGCATCATAAGATTTCTTCGTATCTCACGTATACATGTAGTGTGAATGACATATAAGTAAAGACTAAGATTATGTTTGTTTATGTAATTTTAATTATGTTTAGCTTGAAAATATATAAAAATAATATATTTTTTAAAATAAATATATTTTAAAACGTAACATTACCACTTAGAAAAATAGGATTTAGTTGCCACATAGAAAAACAGACCACTAAATCCCTAATCTTAGAGTATCTCCGATGACAAAAGTTGTGCAAAAGAGCCAAATTATCAACACATAAAAAGTGTAATTTAGTTTTTTTTTTTTTTTTTTTGCGGTTTTTCACGAAGAAGGACATTTTTAAAAGTCATTTTGTATTCTACATAGAATGAGAGGAGAGGAGAAGTTTAAAGAGAAAAGGTAAACAAAATAATTCTTCTATTTTATGGCTTTTAAAATAAATATTAAGAAATGACTTTTCATTCTGGTAAAGAAATTTGAACATCTCATCTAACCATCCCTTTTAAAACCTAAAATCAACGAATAAAAAATATTTTTGATATTTATATTATTTTTTTTGTACTTTCCATATAGTTATTCTACTGCAGAAGCTTCTAATATCGACGCGGGGATACTCTTTAGTCTTTACCAAGAAAAAAACAAAAAACCTACCGACATGCAGTGGAGGAGTTGAGTGCTAGAGGGCCGATCCAGCCAGCCAGCTGGTGGCAGAAGAAGGCAAGAATATCATGGCAAAGCAACATGGATCTGCCACGTTAGAGTATCATGAGACAAGCTATCTAGCTGTACACAAATATCAAATATGAATATGATTCTTGCAACCCAAAACCGTCGCATCTACCCCTTCCTTTCCTTTTTGTCGTTTAATACTGGCATCCACCCCTTCTTTCCTTTTTTTTGTCGTTTAATACAGCGGTGTAGGGTCTTTTAACGTTGTTTTTTTATTTTTTAAAAATTATTTTTAATTAATATATTAAAATTATTTAAAAAATATAAAAAAAATATAGATTTAAAATGAAGAAAAAACCAAAAAAATTAATTTTAAAAAAAAAACTCTTAAAACATAAAAATTCTCATATGAAAACATATTAGTATTGATTTATCAACTCTCACAACGTGTCGACAATGGTACTCTTAAAATTATTTAACAAAATTCTTAAAATAAAATATATTATAGCTAAACTAGTTTAAAAATGACGTGTAATTTATATAAATGATGTAATTATAAAAAATATTTTTAATTATTTTACTATTTCGATGATTTCATCACTAATTCTCATAAGATATTTTCTATCAGTACGTGCGTAATTATGTTGAAAATAAACGACAAGAATATATCATCACTACTATAATTAATCAGGCATTACCGGTGGAGTAAGCTATTCCGTGGATAATTCCATCGCTATTTTACAAATTTCTGTGACGTTTAACAATCTAAACATGTTAGTTAATTAAAGAAGCGCACCTGATCTTCATTTTTATATTAAGTGACCACTATTTAGCTTAGCTTCTCAGCCTAATATTTTTGGGATAAAAAACAAGTCGAAAGCCAAGACAAACCGAACCTAGAACATACGTGTGGGACATGTGTACACGTTGGTGGCGGCAGGCAGTGGGGTGGCTCTGGGGCTATATATAACTAGCCAGCCTCAGTCTTCGACTTAATTTATCCCACAGAGAAGGAAAGCAAGATATTATTTTTCAGGAGAGTACTCCAGTAGAGAATCAATAAGAAGATCATGGCAGGGGCAGTTAAATGCATAGACATCTTGATAGCCATCATCTTGCCCCCTCTTGGTGTCTTCCTCAGGTTTGGCTGCGGGGTACGTCCGTCCATTAATTCTCATGCATTCATTCGTTTAGACACGCACACACACACACACAGAGTTAATTAATTTCACCTATAATTAATTAAACAGCACTGATGATCATGTGATTATTATGTATGCATGGTTCGATCGGTCAGGTGGAGTTTTGGATCTGCTTGCTCCTCACCATCTTAGGCTACATCCCTGGAATTATTTATGCTGTCTACGCCATCACCAAGTGAAGATCCTTGATCTCACCATCTTAATATCTCTGCTGCGAGCACCTGCACCGCACCCCCAAAAGCCGTTTCTTTCTCTCTGTTCCTGTAAATTTAAAGGGCTGTAAAGTATTTGCGAAAATAAAGGATATATATATGTATACATATTATATCATGACTGTTAATTTTTAAATAATAAATTTAATTTGTTGAAAAAAATGATGTGTCGAGAAAGATATCTAGGTGTTGATAATTGGAGTACACTACAAGATATGATCTATTCATGTGATAGGTACATGTGCATGATGTGTATGCATGGAAGCATCAGAAATTGTGGTAGCTAGCCACCGTTCTTGCTTAATTAATTTGTTTTACTACTCTTCATCGATCCAGTACTCAAGACTCATGGGGTATTATTATTATTATTATTATTAACATAGATGTTGAAATTAACCTCAACTAAAATGACGAGTTACGAAACATAAACCTACTTTCATGCTGTTAAAAGCATGACGAAAGTTTAATGCATGGGGTCTCCGGTGATATGAGTAACTGCCTTGCCTTTAAACATGTATTACTTAATTTAATATTTACATGGGTCCCTATTTCAAGCCCTTGACTAGATTTAAAGTTAATTTTAACTCATTTTACTTAATTTAATATATACATGGGTCCCTAATTCAGCTCCTTAATTAGATTTGAAGTTCAATTTTACTCATTTGATTAGCTTTATTTTGGGTGTTTTTCCAAGATAACATTTGTTAGAAAGTTTCTAGCATGTAGAATCAATTAAGAAAAGATTTTTAAAAATATCACAGCTAGCCAGGAAACAAAAAAAAAAAAAACCATAAACGTAGCGGTCACCTGCGGTATTTAAATAAACAATAAATAGAAATTACTAGCATATTTGGCCGCGGATCAAATTAGTTTTTCTCAAATTAGGTTTTAAAAAAATATTAAGAATATGTAGATTTTTTTTTATAGTATTTACCTTAAACTTGCCAATTCAGTTTCTTATTCGGTTTGAGTTTTAAATAATTTATTTTAAATTAATTCTCATGTCTTTGAAGTGTTTAAATTAAATAATGAGTTTAAAGACTATTTAAATTGTTGAAAAGAATATGACAATAATTTTGTTAAAAATTGAAATGATATAAAATTAGATTGACTTGGATTGACCTAATTATCTCATAACTTTAATAGATTTATATTTTTAGTGTTTTTATAAATTATTTTTATTTAATTTTATGATAGCATTAATCTTAAAAATTTATTTATAAAATAAAAAAATAGTTATAAAAATTAAATAAAAAACTGAAAAAAAATTAGGAATCCAGATTAACAGGGATGTTTTTGAAAAAAAAACTTAATATTTAGATTTAATTAAATAAAAAAACACCGATTTGAAAAAAACCGAAGGGCCTGTTATAGAACAGCTCACGCCTAGGCCGAAGTCAGGCCATGTGCCTAGGCATTTATTTCTTTTTAAAAGTTTTTGACAAACATGATGTTTATCACATAACATAAGATATTAGTCTCCTTACACTCGAGCTCGCGACCTTTACAAGCCAGCCACATGCTTTGACTAATTAAGCCACAAAACAAGGAGGATGGCGTGTCATTAAAATAATATATGAACTTAATTAATCCCATGTTCTTAGTTTTATTTATAATATAATATGCTTTTCATATCTGTTTTAAAGAACAAATATCATTTCAAAATATTTTAAGAATTTATTTTATATTTTTAATCTAAAACCTCCCATTAAAAATAAAAAAATATTATTTATATATATTTTAATATAAAAAATATTTAAAAAACAAACATCAGACTAAGATGCTGCCTGGTTTGATAAGAGCAATGGGCCGGGAGGGCTGTTGCTGCAGTGTCAGAGGGAGGGCCATTTATCGGATGAAGAAAACGCTCGATCGATGTGGGTCCTGTAGACCGACAAGCTTACCTGTAATATCAAAGGGCAAGTTTCATTAGTTACCTGCTCACACACACCCCATCTTATCGTCACCAACAGCTGTCCCAGTGATAAAAATGGTCCCACCAGGAAAAGAACAATAAAGTGAGATGATTTACACATACAGCAAGCCCATTTCTGTGGGTGGGTTCAAGTGGAGAAATACCTTTCTAAACACTAATTCAGTTTCAAGCCCATGTGTAATTGTGAATCTTTATATCCTATTTAATAACTCAAGTTAAAATAAATACACATATTTTGCTTTTCATGTATTTAAAAAAATTGATAAAAGGGTGTTTCTTAATTAAAATCAAATTAAAATTTATATATATATATATTAAAACTATTAAAAAATACTTAAAAAATAGAATCAAACACAGTATCAAAACTATTAAAAATAGTTTTATTCACATGTATTCAAATTATTAAAATAAGATAATAATTAAGTTAAAAATATTAGCCACTTCGCCTGACCTGGGGACAAGAAAAAACAAAGGGAAAATAAAACTTCGGCTGGTCCATGGGACCTTGGGGCTCAAGCATTAGAGTACATGTTAGGCCAAAATACTCGATAGGATGAGCACCAATAAATATTTATGGCCATGCTTCTTAATGATGAGGTTAAATAGATGTCAATTGATTAATGATTATTTCAAGAAATAAAAAGAAATGATGCATGAATTGATCCTTTAAAATCCCTTTTCAATTGGATTCTAAGCAAAAGTATTCATTTTTAAAATAATAAATGATACAATATTATATCACAATACAATAATAAAATACAGCTAACTGGATTAGCGAATTTAAAAAAATATTTATAAAAAAAATTAAAAGTAAAAAGAAGTGAATTTAACTGTGGATTGTTGAAATGAGATTTCACCGACTAAAAACATAAGAAAGTTTTGACTTATCTTCTAAGTTACTACAACGAAAATGAAAAGTGATTTAAAAATCACTTTTAATAAAAAAGCTATACACCATTATCATAAAGCTTAATCAACATGTTTTAGAAAAATACTACCGAAGAAAAAGATTAAGATAGTTTCAAGAGAATTTTTTTTCAAGTTCAAATTTAAAATAAAATTAATGATACATAAATTTATTTTTTATGAATCATTTAATTCTGATGTGAATAATCTTCTTATTAAGTAAAAAATTTAAACATGTAAAAAGAAAACTAGTAGAGAATATTATCAGCCTTGAAAAATAAAAACAAGAATTGGGAAGGACGGCTGCTTCACATGGAATATAACAATATTTATATCGACGCTATGCATGCACCTTTTCAGCCTCCATCGCCGCCGCTGTTCGTCCTCTACGCGGTGACCTAAAAACCCTCTGATTTTATTTCATTATTGACTGTCAATAATAAGATGAGGTTGGAGGAAATTATCACCATAAGTCAATGGCTTTCACGTGGTCAAACAATGGCCGGTGCCTTGACAAACCAGACTTCGTTTCAAACCAGCTCTCTTCCTCTTCTTGTTTTGTTTTGTTTTTTTTTTTAATTATAATATATAGGGAAAATCTAAAGGCTATCACTAAGAGACATCCGCTAAATGTATTCATTTATGTTAAATTGTGTAGAAGAGCGGTAATATTAATTAAATATACAACTAATTAAATTTTTTTTGTATGGGAATGTTTTTTTTTTTTACTTACAATAAACTCCAAGGGAAAAAAAAGAAATATATGATTTGAATAAAAAAAACTAAATGATTGTTAACGTTTAATTTCGTACGTTAAGAGCATGTTCAACCTCACCAATAAATATGTTTGTCCATCTTCCAAAATTAACAAATTGTAATACACATAAATAGTGACAAATTCAAAAAATCAATTCAATTAAATCTACGCACCTTCAACCTAATATATAGAAATTAATTAAAATCTTGAATCTCAAAACAACTAAGCTAGCTAACGTGCTGCATCATGAATGGATGAGTGAATTAATTCCATAGATAAGTATATATAGTATAAGATACATATCTCACACACGCATGCAGTATCAATGATGCATGTGTAGAGGACACTATGTCACTTGTTATGAATACTTGTGCTAATTAATTATACGAAGATATTAATTACTATAAATAAAATAACAAAAAAAAAACTATCAATTACAGGATTTGAGTATATTTGATGTTAATTATGGTATTTTTTATGATTATAATTTGAGAAATTATGTCTAGAGAAGTAGAAAGTTATAAGATGTAATTTTTTAAAAGAATTTTAGCACGATTCATAAGAAAGTGTGAGATGCATTAACTAATTAAAGTTAAATGAAACACAGAATCGCAGAAACGAACAAGCATGGCAGCGTAGGAAGGAAGGAGTGTTTGTGGCCCGATACAGCTAAGTGCCCGCCCAGTGGTAGAATTAGAAAGCAAAATCACATGGCAGGGAAAGCAGCATGCACGTGATGAGGAAACTTAGCTATCTACCTGTACATAATTAAATATCAAATTTGAATACGATTCTTAATTACAACCCAAAAGCGTGCCATCCACCCCTCCCCTTCCCTTCCCTTTGTCGTCTAATTAACGACTCTCACACCAAGGAATTAAGAGAGTGCATATGATCTTCATTTTTATACTAGCTACGTATTACTAGACCACGTACGTGTGGGACACGTGTACACCGGAAGGTTGTGTTAGTGGGAAGTGGGGTGGCTCTCTGGGGCGCCTCTATATAACCAACCTCAATCTTCAACTCTCTATGCATCGCAGAACATATTAGCACCACGAAGAAGAAAAACAGTTTCTTAAGAGCAGTATATATATATATCCTTCAGAAGAATTAAGGAGATGGCAGACGAGGGAACAGCTACTTGCATAGACATCTTGTTGGCCATCATCTTGCCTCCTCTTGGTGTCTTCCTCAAGTTTGGCTGCGGGGTACGCCCGTCCATATTCTTTCATTAATTTACACACACACACACACACAGTTGATTTTACTTATAATTAAACACTGATCATGTGATTATATACATATACATGTACATATATATGCACGGTTCGTTCAGGTGGAGTTTTGGATCTGCTTGCTTCTCACCCTCTTTGGCTACCTCCCTGGCATTATTTATGCTGTCTACGCCATCACCAAGTGAAGATCCTGATCTTATCTGTTGTAAGCACCTCCACCCCCCAAAAGCTGTTTCCTTCTCTTTGTTCCTGTAAATTTAAAGGGCTATGAAGTAATTTTATGTGAAAATAAACGATATATAATTAATTTCTTCCCACTTTAACCAGCACTACTCAAGACTCGTGGGGTACGTATTAACTGTTGATTGAATGAGTGAAAGCGATGCCTTGCCAAACATGCTCCTTGGCTACTTTTATATATGTTATTAAAAGCATGGCAATAGTTCAATGCATGGGGTCTCCAGTGATCAACATGACCTGCCTTTAATAATTGACATGTATTAGTTAGTTGGTTAATTAATTAATATATGACGTCTTTGCTGGGTGTTTTTTGTTTGTTTGTTTGGACAGGTGGAGAGGCACATAACCGCTTGATTCAATGAAAAGTCCCTTGTTGGTGTACATCAATACTTGGATTTATTCTTCTTAATCTCTTCATAGTTGTGTCTTTTTTTTTCCTTAATTAAGCAAGAAATGATTTGTTGTGAAGGAGCTTAGCAATTGTTGTTGAGTGACATTAATTTGTGAGTATGGGTACTTAAGGCCGTAATGGATGATTAGTGTTCTTGTTAAGCAGTATCTTTCCCTCTTAACTTCTCTATATATAGTTGTGAGCCCCTTGCATGTTTGTCTACCTAATTGCTTGTGGATTCAATGACTGTTAGGCGATATATAGTTGTTCTCCTTACTTTTTCTTGGATATTGACTGTTGGATACAACTTTGAATCAATCCAAGAGTGAAAAGAAAGCTTTATTTCCTGACTCAAAAGCAGAGCAAAACGAGAAAGGAAGATGCATGTGCATCTTTTACCCTAACAAGCTCTTAAGAGTACTATATAGTGGGACTCTCTTACAGAGCATTGACAAAGACCAGTACACTTGTCTTCGCCATGAAGCTATCCTCTCAGATTGCCCCACCAGAATAATGCACCGGCCTGTATATGGCTGCATTAGCCATGAGCTCAATATCACACAACCGTTTCTCATCATCAAGGCAGAGAGTACTGGCGCACCGCTCGTTCAACCTGCAGGCAATTTAAATAACAAACTTAAGGTGGCCATCTGGCTTATCAAAGCAAACAAAAAAACGAGTCAACACTGACTAGCTGGATCATGAAATCAAGGGATTAATGTTTTGTTTGCAGTGCTTTAGAATTGCGGTTCTTCAAACGAAACTATTTTTTTTTCCGAGCACAAAGGGACAAAGGAACAACACTTGGTGATTAATCAAGATGGTTGCGTCTCGACCTCAAAGACAAGGCTCTAGCTAGCCTGAAGACCACATCCAATTATCTAATATATCCCATATCAATGAAGAATAACCTCACATGATAAACAAGAATTATCCAAAGACGTTGCCCTAGGAATTGACATAATCTTCCATTATCGAATATTAAATTAATGCTAACAAGGAGCAATCTTCAAACGAAAACAAAAGGGACAATATAAAGCTTCAAGTTGATCTTTCTTTGCATGATTGACAATCAAAAGATTACAAAAAATGAAAGGCTTCAAATTAACCCCTATCATATTATTTAATTCTTAATATTTTACAAAGACAGAAATAATACAAGAAAGATAAGAAGTATAATTAACATAAACTTTAACTTAATTAACTAAAGACTTAAGAGATGTTTAAGTTTGTGGTAGTGATGACACTTCAAAGTGTTTTCTAATTTTTTTTTTAAATATTTTTGATATCATCATATTAAAACAATCTAAAAATATAAAAAATTATTTTAAATAATTTTTTTAAAATTTTTAAAGAAACTAGTTTGCACCATGTTTCTAAAGATATCTAAGGACCAAACAACATCTAAGGACCAAACAATTTTTTCATTGTATATTTTAAATTAGTTATAAATTTATAATTAATTTTCTCATAATTTTTCAATTTTTACTTCTTTATCTTTTTCAATTGACAGAATAATTTTTCAACTTACCTATGCAAGTTTATCTCCTCTGATTAATGAGTTAATTCTATCATTTATCTCTTCATGTTCATCATCATTAGTTCCTAAATGTTTATTTCCCAAGAGAGAAGTATATCCTTATCCTCCCTACATACAAGCATGTTTTATTTTGTAATCCTTCTAATCATAGTTATTCCAACATAAAACACTAAGCACCGGGAATTGTCTAGCTCAAATACTAATTAATGTAAAAAAAATAACACAAGAAAGACATGAAGCATAAATGATACAAAATTTTACAGATAACCATACAAAAACTCATTTGAAATTTTATTACTAATCATTTCTCTTGGGTTATTCTATTGAATTATAAATTAAATATCTTTATCTATACTAGATCAATTTTAAAAAGAAAGAAAAATCATAATAAATAACAATACAATTATTATAGGGATTTCTAAACTAAAATGAAAAAAAAAATATTAGAAAGGAAAATATTTTTCTAAACTGGAAACCAGTATTTTTCCCAAAAAATCATCTGTCAATTTCATTACAAATTCACAACATCTACGAATCTGATTATTCATACTTCCATGTATTTCAGGTTCTTAATTTTTTAGTATTTCCAATCCAAAATGCCGGCAACTCGTTCTGCCAAATTTCTAGAAAACATTGATTCTCGAATTCTAAAACATTTGAATAAACCCTGATCATCAAATTTAAATAAATAACACTATATATTATTATTTCATTAAAAAACATAACATGAACGTGAGACCACCCTGGCACCTTGCCGACTGGAAGCCATTAAAAAAATTTGAACCAATGTCATATCCACATTCTTGCCTGAGTGCCTCCCCTGATCCGTCATTACCTCCCGATATATCCCATACGTTTATATATGGAAAACCATGCTGGCCATTTAGTATGGATAAGATCAACGGTTACATGCAAGGAGAACCAAAGCAGGATTCTATAAAATGCATAATCAAGGAAACAGATAAGCAATTCTCAAAAATAAAATAATTCGTAGATTACACTCATTAATCAAAGATATTGTTTTGACTGTGATTCAACTCCTACCAGCTCGCAAAAATTAAAATCACATCTCAGGCTATAATTATCCTCATTAGGGCACCCCTTTCTTAATATATAGACCAAATTGCTCTTCGAATCACCAATTGTTTTCTCATGATTAAGCCTAAAAGTTGTTGAGAAATAATCATTTTGCATGCCCATTTAGGTATCCAAATATCATCCTTGCTAATATAGGTGTATATGCCACCTTTTGTGTAGTTGGTACTTACCAAATAGATCATCTACACCTAGGAATTCACAAAAGGCACCGTAATCATCCTGTATGGTTCCTGCCCTATATATATATATATATGGCATAGAATGTTTGAGGCAAGATGCACCCAAACCATATTAGACTGTACAAATTCTAAAACCCTTCATAGCCCAGCAGCCATGACTAGAAAGAAGGTGAAGCTTGCATTTATAGTTAGTGATTCTGCAAGAAAAGCCACCTTCAAGAAAAGGAAGAAGGGCCTAATGAAGAAGGTGAGTGAGCTAAGCACCCTTTGTGGGATTGATGCTTGTGCTATCATTTATAGTCCGTATGCTTCTCAACCCGAGGTTTGGCCCTCTCCTTTAGGAGTCCAAAGAGTGTTGTCTAAGTTCAAAACCATGCCAGAAATGGAGCAAAGTAAGAAAATGGTGAATCAAGAGAGTTTCCTTAGGCAAAGGATCGCAAAAGCCAGCGAACAACTCAGGAAACAGCGGAAGGAAAACCGTGAGAAGGAGGTCACTCAAGCCATGTTCCTATGCTTGACTGGAAAAATTAACTTGGCTAACCTAAACATGATTGACTTGAATGACCTTGGATGGATGATCGACCGTAACCTGAAGGACGTTGAAAATAGGGTTGAAAGCCTAAACAAAAGGAGTAGGAGTAGTACTGGGGGTGCTAGTCATACTTCCCAATTGGCGGCAGTTGCAGCCACTGGGGCAGGACCTACCAATGCTGGACAGCAAGCACCAGAGTCATCACAGAAAGCAGACGTGTTGGCTGCTACTAATCTTGGGGTTAATGCGGATTCCATGCTGAGACAACAATGGTTCATGGACATGGTAACCCCTCAAGAAACTGCAATGGGGTTTGGCGGGGACGACAATATGATGCTGCCTTTTGGGGATACCAATCATAATGCTCTATTCTCTAATCCGTTTTTCCCCTTGAATTGATGGTTAAAATTAACTTGGTATCTTAATTAATCGTGAAATATCTTTTAATTTCCTGATTTCATTCGTTTGGAGACAGACACCATGCATCGTCGCGCCTTATTCCTATGAATAAATCCTTGTTTATCATCTCTACATGTATTATATCAAGTTTCTCAATCACCTTTTTTTTAATGTATTCTCTGATTTTCAATCATATTATCATTTCTATATTCCATACCAAGCTCGATCGAGGCCATTAATGATGATTAGTTGACAATATAGAGTAATAATCAATTAAATTAAAGCATTTCTAACCACAATATCACCATATACTAAAAGCAAGAAGTGTGAAACATAAATGATATATAGGAACAGAACAGACGAATTTCATATATTTTAACACCGCATTTTCCCATCTGAAACAAATATATAATTTCTCTTGAAAAAGGGCAGTAATTTTATGTGTAGCCAAATGCATTATGCATGCATATATTTGGGGTCAAATGCATCATCTTGGTGTTGTAGATAGGACCCTAATTCATTCCTCTTTTTGGAACACCGTGCAAATTGTCTTAATTAGCAATTCACTAACTAGACAACTAGTGGCCGGGGATCAGGGAAATTAGAAAGAAAATATTGTATATCCAAACGAACCTCTTCACTGAGCTGCAGGATCGGCAGAGAAATAGTAAAACTCTTCCATGTTACATCATGAAAAAAAAGGGAAGAAGAAGGAGCACAATATCAACTCACTAAAACTCATATATGGTAATTATGGTTGAGATTTAGATTGTGTTTTTTTTTGTGTTAAAAAAATATTTTTTACTTCAAATTATTACTTTTTTTATATATGATTTTGACATAAAAAAGTTAAAAAATAATATTATTTTAATATATTTCCAAACAAAAAAATAATAATTTAAAAAATAACAAATATCACAATTCCAAAGAACTATTTTAGAACATTTTGGCAGTCATATAAGCACAAATCAATCATATTCTAGTACTAATGATATTAGAGTTTCAATTTTCATAATTGAAGGATTATATATATGCCAATAAATATGATCTTAGACTATATAGTATCCTTATAATCAATTTAGATCATTGTATTAATTCTCCTGGACAAACGATACTTAAACACTCTATTTTTACTTTATAATTAAGATAAGGATTCTTTATAGATATCTTCATATTGTTTTTAGATAAAAAAATATCTAATTTAAAAAGTCATCATCTATTACGGTAGTAATTAAAAATCCTAATTAGTCAATAAAAATTCAATACAAATCCTAATTAGTCAATAAAAATTCTATAATACATGACTGATTACATTAAAGAAAAAATATTATTATCCCTTAAATATTCTATTTAAAACAGACTGCATTGTTGAAGTTATCTTAAATTGCTAAGAGTTTTTTTTATTCTATTTTTATGGTCTTTATATATTATTTTTGACTCTGATATCAATAAATATTCACTTATAAATATTATTAATATTGAAGTTGATAAATACTATGTAATTCAAAAAAGTATAATACTCTTGATTTTAGTATCAGTAAATAAATCTATAAAATTTAGATTAAAATAAAAAAATATTTTTTATTTTTTTTAAGAAAAGAAAAAAAATATTTAATATCATATTCACATACTATAATGAAAGTCCATAAATTAAATATATTGGAAAAACTAAAAAAATACAAGAAACTCGTAAATCTATAAATGAAAATCCTCACAATTGGATCTTACAAACACACCCTTAGTTTATGGGAAATTGGGTCAGTTGGAGCCGTATAAGCTGGGCTAGACCCAGAGGGCCTGTACCGGTCACTGGCCGGAGCCAGTCACCAGCCCGGTCAATGTAGCCTGGCTTGCGTGAATTACTCACCAGAGTACCTGTGTATTAAAAAGCAAAAGCGGGGGAAGAAGAATTGTAAACTTACCTGCAGCTGAAGACCGAAGTTGAAGACGATGGCGCGCTCTGGACAATGCTCCTTCTGCTCTTCCTTTCGTTATTCTTCTCTCTGATTCTTTCTTTCCTTTCATGTTCCTTTTCTGTTCTGTTTTTTATTTAGTTTTTCTCGGTCTATCTCTCTCTCTTGTTCTCTCCTCTGTCCTTCTTCTTTGCCTCAGCCCACGTCTCCTCTCCTGATAAGCATGGGGAGTTGGTTTCCTGCAAGGACTCGGGCACCAACAGTCTCGCCATGGCTGGACTGTTGGTGATGGATTTTGACCCGGACTCCAGCTGCGTGTTGGGGTTCGAGGGAGATTAGATTGAAGCTGTGTTTTCAGTAGACCAAATGGTCCACATTTACCTGGGCAGCATTTCTTCTTCCTCGTTTTTGGCTGGTGGCTTTCCTCTGCTTCTGGAGGAAGAAGACGAAGGAACACGAAACGAAAGCTGGGTCGGCCATTTTTCAATTTGGTAACTGGTCTTATGACATTGTGCAATCGGACCCTTATTCATGGAAACTACCCCTTTTGTTTTTAATTGTGTCCCCCTGGGTCAATTACAATTGGACCACTGATTTCAGAGCCATTTACAAAAGAGTCCATAGTTCCAATTTAATCAATTTTGACTCTTCAACTTTTAATTGTTTCAAAATTATCACTGGAAAAATCAATTAAACTCCTCATAGTACCCCAAAGTTTAACTTTGGTCATTGGACTTTAATTTCTTGTAATTTTAACAATAATCAGCCCTGAATTTTAATACTTTTTAATTAAGCTCTGATTTTATTAATTAAACTAATTTAGAGTTTAATTAAGTCCTCAAACTTATTAATTATTCAATTAAACTCTTGATTTTATCAATTAAATTAATAAAAAGCTTAATTGAGCCCCCAAACTCATCAAGTTTTTCAATTTCTACCAAAATTGACTCCCAATTTTATAATTTCATCTTGATTAATTCTCAAAACTTTTAATTTTTGTTGTCTTAACCTAAATCTTAATTTTTGTTCATTCATTTTATTTGTTTCATATCCTTCATTTTTTATATAAAAATAAAAAATAAAAAATAAAAAATTAAGTTGTAACATTACCAATAGAGGAATAAGATTAGAACCCTTATTTCGATGTTCATTGGCCCAGGTGATTAGTCGCCTTAATTGTCCATGTGCGAGCGCTTTGTTTCTTCTTCTTCTTTTTGGTTTGATGAATATAAATCCATCAGCATTGATAGTATAATTTTATTTATTCTACAGCTAGCTAGTCGTGTACTTGCATTTTATATCTAGGATAATCTTGTAATTTTAATACGCTTTTAGTTTTAAATTTTTTAAAATAATAATATTCAATCATGTATTGTATTATTGTAGATATAATGATTTTTTTTAATAATGAATATATATTAAATACATAATACAGTATTTTGAATCAATTTAAATCTCTTATTTATTTGTATTAAAAAGATATTATTGAACTTTCATATCTTTCCATCACACCCATGTAAAGAAATGTGTTTTTAATGAAATTCATTAAATTAATTACGTTTATGAATCATACCTCTCTTATGAATAATTATGTATATTATATTAAAAATCGTATATATTTTCTCATTAGAAATTCAATTTTTTTTTAAAATTCAACTATTGCTCAAAATTACAACTTCATCCCATCAATAATCACCTCTATAAAATGTTTTTGTATATTTACAAATATCGTGTCTTTCATTCATTTTATTTAAATTAATAACATTTATAGATGATATAGTTTCAAGTTTTGTGTCTTATTTTATTAAATTAAAGGATATAGATCATACCTTTTTTGTATTTTGAAAGGATTGAAATTATTCTAAAAAATTATAACTATATCCAATCACTTTTTAATTATATATTTATAAAACATTGTGTTTTTAACGATAGTTTTAAATTAAATTTTTATAAATCATATCTTTTTATTTATGTGACGAACAATCACATCTTATCATGCTAAAGAGTAATGTATCATTTCATTGATTTTCATAATAACTTTAATTTAATCCTATAATTAATTTTGAGCTTCCATAGGTTTCTCAATTACAATATTATATACATTCGATTTCATGAGAACTTGAATGATATTGAAGATTTTAGATTTAAATTTGATAGTTTTATGTGTTATACAATCTAAATTAAATAAAAAGAAATACAAACATAAGAAAGGAGAAGACTAGAGTTTTATAAAACACTCTATTTCTAAAGTTCTTGTTTTAACCTAAAAACAAAAAGATTATATATCGGTTAAACCAAAAAATACAATTCCACCTTTAATGAATAAATAGATTTTTTAACATCTCTCCTTAAACTCATTATTTGACCACTATAAGTATTGAGAGTTTGCCAATTAGAAAATCAAACCAGGAAATGAAATGCGACTTAGTAAAGAAATTTACAATTTATAAAAAAGAAAAAAAATAAAAGAAAAGGTAATGATGTCATGCTTGAGATGATGATGAGTAAGATGACAATTAATCTCAATGTGTTTAGTTCGTTCATGAAAAATTGAATTGTGAGTAATCCGAATAGAATTTTAGTTGTTACAATACAGAGGAGTAGGATGAGAAAAAGAGACTTTCATATATGCAAGTAATCAATTAACCAAACAATATTTTTGTAGATATTGTAGCACGATATTCTGCTTCGGTTGAAGATTGAAACATAATGGATTGTTTCTTACTTTTCCAAAAAATAAAAAAAAATCATTTAAAAAGATACAGAAACCAATAACAGACTTGTGATCTGTAGGATCATTGTCATGATTAACATCAGAGTATGCATGCAGCTCCAAGAAAGAGGCGCGTTGAAGTAAAAGACTATGAAAGACCGTTTTTAATTAAGCTCTGATTTTATTAATTAAACTAATTTAGAGTTTAATTAAGTCCTCAAACTTATTAATTATTCAATTAAACTCTTGATTTTATCAATTAAATTAATAAAAAGCTTAATTGAGCCCCCAAACTCATCAAGTTTTTCAATTTCTACCAAAATTGACTCCCAATTTTATAATTTCATCTTGATTAATTCTCAAAACTTTTAATTTTTGTTGTCTTAACCTAAATCTTAATTTTTGTTCATTCATTTTATTTG